TTTTGGTCAATGACATGAGACAAAGTATATGTGAACTGCTGTATGAAAAGTGAATTTACTCTGTAAATCTTCACCCAAATCAAAAAAAAAAAAAAGTTCAGTAATGATAGCCAGGCACTATCCAGTTTTTCTGATCTCATGACAAAAGAGGCAGTTGTTCATGAAGGCAATTAGCCACACATTTCATTTTCTTCTATTCCTGAGGGTGGGAGCTCTAGTGGCAAAGTGTGTAAGGCATTTGACTGCTAGCCATACTGCAAACCCACCAGCCACTCCTTGGAAGGAAGATGGGGCAATCTACTTCTGTAGTGATAGTGCCTCAGAAACCCAAGGAGGGGTCACTATGAGTCGAATCAACTCGATGGCAGTGTTTTTTTAATTTTTTTTTCTTATCCCTGAGGGTCAGTGAGAAAAGGAAGACCCTCAACAAGATGGATGGATACAGTGGCTACAACAATGGGCTCAAACATAGCAAGGATTGTGAGGATAGTGCAGCACCAGGCAATGTTCCATTCTGTTATATAAGGTTGCTATCAGTTGTAACTGACTCAAAGGCACCTAACAACAACAATAATAAAATTCCTGACACTCCTGCTGTTGCTCCAGGCAACTAGAGACCAGTTGTTGTGACTTAGATGACTGCTTGCAAGTTTTTAAGACCTCAGGCACTACCAAACAAAGTAGGAAGTAGAGCAGAAGCACTTAACACAATATTGGACCAGGCAGTGTTTCATTCTGTCATATATAGGGTCACTATGAGTTGGAGCCGACTCCGTGGCATCTAATAACAAGGCATCTAATAACAAAACACAATATTAGGCAATGAACTGGGATGTTCCATGAAACCTTCCCTAAACCTCCAAACCAAAGAACCAAATCCCATGAGATGATTGGTTTTACTTAAGGACCCTCAGCAGCTAGCTGCTCTTTTGTTGTTGTAAATATATCTATCACACAAATTTTGCTAACTCACCTTTTTTACAGGTGTACAACTTATTGCTGTGCATGGGGTCGCTATGAGTCGGAAACGACTCGACGGCACTTAACAACAACAACAACAACACAACTTATTGACAGCAATTACATTTATCAGTTGTGCAACCTTACCCTAAGTCAATTCCATTTTTCAATCAATGCAATTTTTTGATCATTATAAACCAACATTCAGTATTCCAGAAGCAAAATCTTCTTCTCCCTCCCTTCTGCCCCTGGTAACTACTAATAATTTTGTGTATTTGCCTTTTCTTGTCTTTGTATTGAAGTGGAGTCACACATATTTGTCCTTTTGTGCTTGACTTATTTAACTCAGCATAATGTCTTCACGCTCCTCCCATATTGTAGCATGAATCAAGACTTCATTTCTCTTTCTGGCTGAGTACTATTCCATTGTATGTATGTAATATCACAATTTTGTCTATCCATTCATCTGTTGGGCATTTGGGTTATTTCCACCTTTTGGCTACTGGAATAGTGCTGCAATGAACCCTGGTGTGCAAGTATCTGTTTGAATCTCTGCTTCCAAGTCTTTTGGGTATATACCTAGGAGTAAAACTGCTGGGTTATACAGTAGTTCTATTTTTAATTTTTTGAGGAACCACCACAGTTTTCCACAATGACTGCATTCCCACCAGCAATGGATAGGGTTCCAGTTTGCCCACATCCACACCAACAATAGTTACTTCCTGTTTTTTCAATTTTAGTCCTTCTAGTGGGAATGTAATGCTATCTCATCGTGGTGGTTTTGATTTGCATCTCTCTGACAGCTAATCATCTTGAGCATCTTATGATGCATTTGGTGGCCATCTGAATGTCATCTTTGGTTAAATGTCTATTCAAGTTCTTTGTCCATTTTATGATTGGGCTGTCTTTTTGTTGTCAAGTTGTCAATGTTTTAGGTATATTTTGACTACTAAATTCTTATCTGATATATATGGTTTCCAAAGATATTCTCCCCATCAGTAACTTGTCTTTTCATTTTTTTCTGATAAAGTCTTTTGATGAACAAAAGTTTTTAATTTTTGAGTTCCCATTTATTTGTATTTTGCTGTTTATGCTTTTGTTATTATACTAGATAATCCATGGTTAAAAGCTAGACCTGATAGCATTGCTCTTGCATTTTAAGCATTTTATGGCTTTAGTTTGCACATTTAGACCCTTAATCCATTTTGAATTTTTTTTTTTGTGTATATGATGTGAAGCACGGATCCTGTTTCATTTTTCTGCATATGGAAATGCAATTTTCCCAGCATGATTTATTGAAGAGATTATTTCCCCATCAAATGGTCTTAGCACTCTTGTCAAAATTCAGTTGACCATAGATGTGTGGGTGTATTTCTTGACTCTCAATTCTGTTCCATTGGTCTATGTTCTGTTGTTATACCAGTACCAGGCTGTTTTTATTTCTCTAACTGTATACTATATTTTTAAATCAGGAAGTGTGAGTCCTCCTACTTTGTTCTTCTCTTTCAACATTGCTTTAGCTATTCAGGTCTTCTTGCCATTCCATATAAAGTTGAGGATTGGTTTTTAATTTCTTTAAAGATTGTTGAAATTTCTATCAGGATTGCATTGAATCTGTAGATTGCTTTGAGGAATATGGACATATTAGTATTATTGTCTTACAATCCATGAACATGGAACATCTTTTCATTTATTTAAATATTCTTTAATCTCTTTCAGGAGTGTTTTATAACTTTTCTAGGACTTATCTACTATCTATTAATAATAGATATACTATCTACTATATATTAGGAAGGAGCTCTGGTAGCATAGTGCCTAAGGAACTTGACTGCTCATCAGAAGGCTGGCGGTTCAAACCCACCAGCCACTCCTCGGAAGGAAGGTTGGGCAATCCTACTTCCGTAGTGATATTGCCTCGGAAACCCAAGGAGGGGTCGCTATGAGTCAGGGCCGACTCGACGGCAAACAACAACAACAACAACATATATTAGGAGGCACTCTGATAGCATAGTACCTAATGCATTTGGCTGCTAACCAGAAAGCTGGCAGTTCAAATCCACCAGCCATTACAGAAGGAAGATGGGGCGCAAACTACTTCTGTAAAGATTTACTGCCTTGGAAACCCAATGGGGGTCACTATGAGTCAGAATCAACTCGATGGCATGGGTTTACTATATGTTAGTCACTGTTGTTGAAAACCCGTTAGTTGCTCACAGCATTTTTGCAACTAATAATAGGCAATAATATACTATACTTTGGTTGCTCTTTAAAACTCCTTTTAAAGTATAATTTGATTCTTATATATTTTGTTAATTCAATAAATATTTATACACTGTGCCTACATGTGCTAGGAACACAGCCAGGAATCGAGACAGCCATTATGGAGCTTACATTTTAGTAGGACAAACAGTGGCACACTGACATAAATAAGGTTATCTCAAGGAATGGTAGATGTTGAAGAAAAGAAAACATATTCTGGATGGAAGGGCTACTTTAGATAGGATAGTCCAACCCGTGAATTTGACTTAAGAGGATACTTTGGCAGAAAGATGAATAGCTGGTCATTTTAGGATCCGTGGGAAGAGTATTCTGGGCAGATGGATCAGTGTGGGTGAAGGTCTAAAGCAGGAATGAGCTTTGGGTGATCCAAGTTCAGAAAGACCATTGCAGCTGAAGTAAATAAGGGGCAGAAGAAATTAGAAATGCTGGCAGGTTTTGTTAGTTATAGTAAGAAGTTGGATCTCATACCATTGGGAATCCATTGGAAGGCTTTAGGCAGAGGAGTAATATGTTCTGATTCTGATTTAGATTGTAGTATGGTAATGAGCTGGAGTAAGAGACAGTGGAATAAGATTAGTTAGGAGGCTGTATACAGACAGACCCATCAGCCACTCCTCAGAAGGAAGGTTGGGCAATCTACTTCCGTAGTGATACTGCCTCGGAAAGCCAAGGAGGGGTTGCTACGAGTCGGGTCCCACTCGATGGCACAGAACAACAATACAGACAGGGAGTGATTAGCACTTGGATTGGGAGGTCTGAACGGGCAGAAATGGACAGGGCAGAAATGGTGGTGGTGTTGTTATGTGCAGTGGAGTCGGACCCGACTCATAGCGACCCCTCCTTGGGTTTCCGAGGCAGTATCGCTACATAAGTAGATTGCCCCATCTTCCTTCCGAAGAAACGGTGGTAGCCAGGATATATCTTTGGTGGTAGAACCCAGAGAACTTGCTGGCCAACTGGATGTGAGAGCTGGCCAGCTTTGTGTTACATTCAGTGAGAGATGAGGACATGCTTGTTAATGGCCAAATTAGTCCTAATAGACCTTTTCCTCTCCTCTCTTCACCTTGGGAAACAGGAATCCTCTGAAGTTTTTGGTCTATCCCTAGAACTACAGGGCTTCTATACTTCAGACTGGAGGGCTTGCAGTGAACTCCATAGGGACTGAAAGGAGGAAAGTGAGGCATCCAGTGGGCTCTGAGAACCATTTGAGGCTTAGTTAAGGCCTGGATGCTCTGTTCTTGCTACAACGCTGCCACCAAGCGGTGGTAAATGGTAGTCAAACTTCAAGGGCCAGATTCACCCTGTAACCTGAGCCTTTTCTTACCTTCTTAGGTCTTTAAGTGGACAGGAAGCAATTCTTTCTTTGTAAAAGGAGACTTGGATTCACTGATGATGGGCAGTGGCAGGTATGTATGTGTCTTAGGCCTCCGCGAGACTTGAGGTGGTCTGTGTTCTAGTCCCTTCCCTTCTCCCAACCTGCTGAAGGAGGCAGCCTCCGGCAAAATGGGGAAGCTGTTGGTTAACTTTCAGGCTGTGCTGCTAGTCAGCACTGAGGGGAAAGGATGGCATTAACTCTCCCACCAAAGTGTTTACAGTTGCTGACAACTTAATCTGAATTTATGTAATTTTGGGAATGGAATTCCTCAAGGATGGACAAAGCTAAAAGGTAATGGGATAATTTCAAGTTTACCAGGCATCTGCCCCAAAATCTTGCCTTTGTGTGTGTGCTTGTGGAGGTGGAGTGAGTTAGGATGAAAAGATTAGTCTCACCCCTGGGGTGACCTTCAAATTCAGAGAGACTTAAGTCTTCCCTGAGGGTAAAGATGAAAGCATTGCTTGATTAGTACCGGGCAAGTTCTTGGCTCTCCCAACTACCTGAAAAGCTCCCAGTGAAAGGCAGCTTGATTGCTGATTTGCAGTAAGTAATTCACTTCCTGACTCCAGCCTAGCTTTTCGGTCAAATGAGGGGTTTAGAATGATCGCTGGTGTTTAGGGCTCTCAGAGCCCACACCTGAGGCTCTTTGCTTTGGTTAAGAAATGCTGTCTGAAAAAAAACTGGTTTGTGGTGATGATTGCACCATTTGTTGAAATCATTTAACTGTTAACAACAACAGCAAAATCTCTAAACCCTCAACCCTGTAAGGAACATTATGGTGAGTCCCCCACAGTTCAGGGTGAATCAGTTTTAGGGCAGCTGAGACTGGTAAAAGTAGGCGGCAGTCATGACAGAGTTGAAAGGTCTCAACACCTGGGAGCGAGCCATGCGATATTTTCCTCTTCTCCTCAGTGGCCAGTTTGGGCTGTGGTTGGACGGAGACTTGTATCATGGGGGAAGCCATCCCTGTGCGACCTTCAACAATGAGGTGCTGGCTCGGCAGGAGCAGTTCTGCATCAAGGAGCTGGAGGCCTGGGTACTGAGCTGATGTCCCGGGGGTGCGACAGCTTCCTGTGCTAAAAGGTATTAGACCTGTTCATGGATACCCTCCAGGCCTGCCTCACAGCCTGCTGAGGCAGCCTATTCTGTTGGAAACCTGGATGGTGAAGCATCCTAGCACTGACTGTGGCTGTTCACCAGTTCCGCTGTGACCTGGGGACTAACGACTGCAACGGAGGCAGGCATTTCTATCCAAGAAAACGGATTCTGGAGGAGTAAAGGTACTCACACCTCAACCAAGAGCCACAGAGCTCTGAATGAAAACCATCTTTTGAGAAATTATAGAATGCATGCTTATTGTAGAAAACTCAGAAGACATAAAATAAATAAATACACGAAAAGCCTACAATTTAATCACTGCCCCTAAAACACTAATATTTTCAAATATATCCTTCCAGACAATTCCCCATGGAGATATATTTATTTTCTCTTACAAAAATGGGAGTCTATTCTGTATACATTTTGGAAATTATTTTTGCTTACAGAGAATTGACAATGCACAGAAATCTGGGCTCAACCAAACTAATAAAGACTCTATTAGCATCGTTCCTGTTGTGTTTTCTAGGACATTGGGGCTGTCTGTCCGTCATCAGTGTGCCCGGTGCTTGCAAACCCATGAGCTCATTTAATTTCATGAGGAAGATGTGAAAACAGCAAATGAGCAAGGTGCACATCTGGATAAAGAACCTGAAACCTCTGTCGATGGGAACCTCGGGGAGGTTAACAGGAAGGGAGGAGTAAGTTTTCTGGCACAAATGTAGCTCAGAAAACAAGGTCCGTGTCCCTTCCCCTGCAAGTGTTTGCCCCCTGCCAAAAGGAAAGGATTCCTTATTATGCCATCACTTGCCAGCTATTGAAGGAAAACTGAATACCATGAACCCAGTTAAATATCATTCCGTCTCACAGACCAAATAGTGTTGAGTACTCATAAACATATGGGCAGATTCCTACACAACCTTCATTTCCTTTGCTCAAAAGGGTCAAAACTGGGCACAAAACACAGTGTGAGAGAGTTGTTAAGAACACTTCTGGTTTCAAGATGGAGATACATTCAGGAAGCTTTATTACAGCTGTTTCCCTCACCCCATTAAAGTAACCAGTCGTTTTAACTTGCAGTTCTTTTTACATTCTGAAGGTGACAATGTTCAGCAACTCTAGAGGCTAAGCTGCTGAAGTTTCCCTATTTATACAAATAGCAAAGATGTTTCTTAAGAAAAATTTAACCTTGTAAATGATATGGTCCTCATCATTAAAATAGTTGCAAAGAGTATAAACTGCAGCTGCCTTAGAAGAAACAAGAGAGACAAAATAGATTCAAGTTGTTTCTCAGATAGCACAATGATACAAGATTGGGCCTAAAAATTCAGAGTAAACCACAATGATTTAAAGGTAGGATATGCAAAAACAAAGCAATCTTAGCACCAAAGAATATTAAGGAGTTCTGATGCCATAGCACCTAAGGCATTTGACTCCTAACCAGAAGGCTGGCAGTTTAAACCCACCAGCCACTCCTTGGAAGGAAGATTGGGCAATCTACTTCCATAGTGATACCACCTCAGACACCCAAGAAGGGATCACTATGATAATTTTGGGTGTGGGCACACAAAGTCTGAGACCTGCAGCTCTCCCCCTGGATGTTTTAGAGAGCCTTGCCTAGGACAGATATGACACCAGTACCCAGTACCTTGGCAAACCTCACTTGTGCTTCTGAGCCCACACGGGAACCATGTCCCATCTGTGCAGCATCACAATGGGGTTGGGGGTGAAGGGTTTCAATATTTTCAATATTTTCCTATGGATTATGGTTAAGTCTTAGTTGTCTCATGAGGGAATGGGAAGGGCAAGATGTCAGACACTTCAGATACTTCCATTCTGGTGTCCACAGAACAGAACCCGATTATACAGTGGAAGGTGAGAGCACTCCCAACACTCCATGGCTCACCTGCTGTCTGAGTTCTTCCAGCTTGAGCTGGATGCTTCCTCACTCCTAGCCTATCAGGAGGTTTTTGTCAAGGGCATGTCAAAGGATAAGATGTTAAGGGCCTATGGTTTCCATCCCCCACTATTGTGCATCTTCAGAACCCACTCTCTGAACATCACCAGTTTGGACTTTAACTACAGACTTTGTTCTTCGTGAACTTCTGTAGAACGGGGGATGTAAGGGATTCCCTGGGCACAGAAGCACCCCTCAACCATGGTGGTGCTCACTCCACTGCTGGAGGCAAAGAGAAAGTGCTGGGAAAATAAAGACACAGACAGGAACCTGGAGTTCACTGGGTAAACACTTACCTCAGCATGGCACTGCAGTCTTTGCTCTGACTCCCATAAAATGCAATGAAAGGGCACTTTATGAAGCCCTATTTCTGAGCAGGCCCTAAAGAAGGTTCTTGTCATGACATCTGATCCACTCATAAGGGAGTTACAGAAGGAGGTCAGGGGGAGGTTGGGAAGAGGTAAGGCCCTAGGAACCTGGGCAGTGAGAATAATCAGAGAGAAATTGCCTGGGTCTGGAACCACAACTGACTTAGGGAGCAGTCAAGTTTTGGGGATCCCTCTGCTACTGGGGCTATGAAAGGTGGTTTAATGTTCCACTTATAGAGGAGCCCAGAGCTTGAAGATCTCCTGAAAACCGTAATCAGGCCTCTCACCCAAGAGCTAGAGCTCACTCCCAGACCTCATCTCCTACTATTTACCCCACCCTGGCAGTGCATAAGGGGTTAAAAGGGCCAGGGAAGGTGTCTTTTACTTACCTTTATTTAGATGACTTACTGAGGGCTAGTCTCACATTTAGGGGGTTAGGAATCTGTTTTGTTTTTAACCAAGGCTGTTCACAATGATTTCAGTTTCCAATTCCAATGTGTACTCTTGCCTCATTTCCAAATATTTAAAAACATAATCATTTGTCTTAAGAGTTCAGAGTATGTAAAAGAGTTGTTATTCTAAGAAAATAGAGTACTAAAGGGGAAAGGTTTTATTTATTTTTAGAAAGGCTTTAATTAATATTAAAAATAGGCAAGGCTATACTCTCCACAGCATGTATAGCAAGATTTGCCTATATGTGTGAATGAAAATTGACTTAGCTCCAGTGTGTGTGTACATTTAAAACAGCCCTCCTTGTAATTAAATTTGTGGGACTCTGACTTAATTGCCTAAATTAATTGTGTTGGGGAGAGAGAGCCTTTGGTCACATCCACACAGGTCAATCCTTAAAAAGCTGGACTCTGGGTTTGGATGCTTCTTGGTGGCAAGTCAAACTCTGGGATATATCTGTTCAATTCCACTTCCATTTTCAAAGTGCTGTGTGTTGGGCCACACCAGCACTGTTCTAAAAGGAAGAGAGAGAAAAGCAGGAAAGAGAGAAAAGTCAATTACATCATTTATTTCCCAGTGAAGGTCTGAGGTACACGTGTCCTCTTCCTACAGATAGTTTGCTTCTAGATGTTACACATGTTGTTTAGGTGCTATCAAGTTGGTTCTGACTAACAGCAACCCTGTACACAACAGGGTAAAACACTGCCTGCTCCTGCACTAACCTCCCAATAGTTACTACAGTTGAACTCACCGTTGCAGCCACTGTGATACTCCATATCATTCAAAGTCTTACTCTTTTTCATTGAGCCTCTACTCTACCAAGCATGTTGTCTTTCTCCAGGGATTGGTCCCTTCTGATAACACATCCAAGGTGTGTGAGGCAAGTCTTGGCATCCTCACTTCTAAGCAGCTTTTTGGCTCTACTTCTTCCAAGATAGATTTGTTCATTCTTCTCACAGTCCATGCATAGTATATTTGATATTCTTAACCAACATCCTAATTCTAATGAGTCAATTCTGCTTCAGTCTTCCTTATTCTTTATTCAGTTTTCCCATGCACGTGAGGCAAGTGAAAATACTATTGCTTAGGTAAGGTGCACTTTAGTCCTCAAAGTGACATCTCTGCTTTTGAACACTTTAGAGAGGTCTTTTGCAGCGGATTTGCTGAATGCAACACATCGTTTGATTTCTTGAATGCTGCTTCCATGAGTGTTGATTGTGGATCCAAGTAAAATGAGATCCTTGACAACTTCAATCTTTTCTCCCTTTGTCATGAAGTTGTTTATGGTCTAGTTGTGAGGATTGTTTTTTTCTTTATGTTGAGATGTAATCCATGCTGAAGGCCATAGTCTTTGATCTTAATAAGTAAGTGCTTCAAGTCTTCTTCACTTTCAGCCAGTAAGGTTGTGTCATCTGTGTATTGCAGGTTGTTTATGAGTCTTCCTCCAATCCTGATGCCTCATTCTCCTTCATATAGATCAGCTTCTCGGATTATTTGCTCAGCAATACAGGTATAATATATATGATGGAAGAATAGAACCCAGACGCACACCTTTCCTTTGCAGTATCCCCTTGTCTGTTCTTATTCTTGAAAAAAACCAAATCATATATATGTCCAGTGTTTGGGTCAAATTAGAACCACCATGTCTTAAGCAGGTAAGAGCGTTCATGGCAAAAGCCCTCAGACCTCTTCTTTTCAAAGATGGTTGGAAGCAACTGCCAGGGGATGTAACAGTACTAAGACAGTACTAATACACTGTAACTAACACTGCCCAGTTTTAAGCCTTCAGCCTTCATACCCTTTCACAGAACATGACTCTGACCTGCTTTTCGAGGAGCAAGGACTATACTGGAATTCTGCTCCTTTCCTGCCTGGTCTACAAGATGGCGAAAAAAAGGGGAATGACAGTATGTACCTGTAGAACTTGTATTTTTCTTTGAAATCAAAGCTATAACCATGGCCCCATCAGCAGTAATCACCAGCCAAATGAGCTCCTCCACCCAAAGTGAGGGATGGCCTCAAGGTTAAGTGACACCATGACCAGAAAGCAGAAGCCTTCTAAAACCTCACTCGATCTCACTGTTCTTGAAGTTGTAGCTAGATTCTCTTAGGATATATGTGGATATGGATCCTTGAGAGCTTGTATTATACTAAGAAAATAATATTTGTGGTAGGATA